ACACCTGGCTTAATAAAGGGGTTTGTTGTTTTTTGTTTTTGTTTTTTTAAATGAGGTAGTTCAGCGATAAGGTGCTTGCCTAACATGAAAAGCCCTGCATTGCATCCCCAGCATCCCATAAAAAATAGTTATCTGTATTATAAATTGAATAGAAAGGTACACACATGCTTGAATCTGCATTCTGGTGAATAGTGGTGTTGGTGATGGCCCACCCAGAAACTGGTTTAACTTCAAAAACTATGCAAACTAGAGACAGAGGGAGCAGCAGGGTGCAGCTGCCAGTGGGACAGGCCTGGCACAGTGACTGAGGATGGCTGAGGGTGACCCTGGGTGTGGCAGATGAGGGTGACAGAGAGGCAGCTCAGATCAGTATCTCTCCCTCTCCCCCATGAGATCCTGGACTCAGAGCTGTTTGAGCTAATGCATCAGAATGGAGACTACACCCACTTCTACTTCTGTTACCGCTGGTTCCTGCTGGATTTTAAGAGAGGTAAGAAGTGTATATACCACGGCTAAAAGGGCTCCTATGTCTTTCATCCCTTAGGGTACTGAGTAAACTGTGCTGTGTACCTGAATTTTGACTACAGGGCATCACTAGGTAGGTGTGGAATGTTCCACTTGTGGTATCCTGTCAACATTAAAGAATGTTCAGAGTTTGAAGCATTTCAGATTTTGAGTTTGGGAGTAGGCGCGTTCATTTTTGATCACCTTGTGTTAGACCCAACATTCTGTAAATTATCATGTGGTACTTCATGTAAATTTGCAGTTTTTATCCCCAACTGCATACTGGAACATAACTGCAGAGTTGTCAAGAGCACCGGCACACAGGCTTTATCTGAAAGCTTCCACATAATTCTATGGTAGTGAAGGTTGAGAACTCTGCATAAACAATAAGCTCTTTTCTGATTTTATTGTCATTTATGTGACTTCAACTTTTTTCATTACTGTTAATATAAAACACATCACAATGTGGCACTAGCAGTAGGAGGAACAGGAAAACCCTGACAGAGTAGCACAGCCTATGCTTCATACTAAAGTGACAGTAAAAAAAGCTATGAGAGACATGAAAAGGATCAGCTAGTGCCATACTGTGTTTGTTGGAAACATTTCATTTAGAGTTTAATAAGGAACGTTTTTATGGCCCACGTTTTATTCTCCATCCTGCTTTGCATTGAAGTCCCAATCTGTGTTTACATCACATTATAGAATGCTACCCTTGAATCTGAGAACCAATAAACCTGTTTTAACATGACAAAACCCACTGAAATTTGATGGAATTAATGTTTCTAACAAAACTGAAACTTTTCAGTGTTTTAAGTTAGTATATTCTTGGCAGCAATATAACTTCCTGTGGCTCAGAGAAATGATTTAAAATGAGATTATTAAAAAAGATCAAAGACTTGGACATCAGTTAACTTACAAGTTACCTAAATGTTGTTATATGAGTATAAGGGAGTAAAACATACACTTAACTTTCCGGGTAAAATGGAGTAGAGTTTTCAAATGAAGGAGCAGGAAGTCTTAGAAAACTCTTTTGGATTTTTCTCAGATATTAACACCTGACACTTGAAAAGTAGCTCACACTGCTCAGGAATGCCAGAAGGTAATGGTAGGTTTCTGCCTAAAGAATTCAATGACGCTGGAAGCATTTAGAACTGTCACCACCAGCTGCTGCTGGAGAACTGGGAAAGTCTGTCACTCACCTACCTGGAAAAAAACCTGCAGCTCATTAGAGTTGACAATAGCACCCTCTTCTTCAACCCTTGCTCTGGTAATGGGGTGATCTACCTATGGCCCCCAATAAGCCATATGATTTGTTTCAAACCTCTGTAAACTCATACACTAACCATCTCAATGAGATAACTTGGGGACAAGCTCTTTAAGATACATAGTGTTATCCTCGTCTGTCTAGGAGTAGAGAAAGAGTAGTTTTCTAGGTTCTTTTTGTTACAGAAAGTCTTAGAGGGTTCACGTATTTTCTCAAAGTGTAGGAGATAAACAGGTTTTCTAACAGTTGATGAACTGAATTTGAGTTCTGCTTTGAACTAGCCAACTTTGTCACTTTGGAAAAAAACAATTACTACAACTACTGCGATAATGACTAATGAGATGACAGGTCAGAGAAACTCTTGCTGGTTCCACGAGGATTTGAATATTGGGAAAACAAGAAGCACATATTGGCAAAGATGCCAGTATCTAGTGGGAGTTCTTTCAGGAGCTATCACAGAATTGGAAGGCCAATAAGAGCTCCCAATATCACTTCCTCTTTGACAATCGCTCCCTGGTATCAGTCTCATCCTCTCTGGTGTATATTACTTATGGCATTATTATCTGCATTAAGAAACATGTTCTAATTATGTATGATCCCACAGCACAGAAATCCACAGACTTCGACATGCTTAAACTTCATTGTATTTCTTTTTGTTCTTCTGTGGAGTTAACTAGATGTCCTTTCATGAAGAGAAGATTGAGTTAGAATATAGATTTCCTTCCTTGGGATACAAAAAAGCAAAAGATAGATTCAAATACCTTCAGGATACTCTGGATAACAAACACAGTCCATTATAAAGCACTTTGAGCACTGTTCTATTAAGTAAGAAAAGTTTAGGGAAGTTAAAGTCAGCATAAAACTTTGATACAAAAAAAGGGAAACACAATAAAAGCAAAAACAAACAAACATATAGACAGCAATCTCATATTGCCCTCACCAGAGCAGATGTTCTCTGGGGCCATATTTATCTAGACGGTTATTCTGATATAATGAACTGGATCATATAAAGAAGACTTTTATAAATGAGGAACACTATCACCTAGAATTGATGCCAACATTAATAACTTAAGTATTTTGGTGTCTTGTGGCCAAAGTTCCATATTTTAGCTACTTTAGCAAGAAAACTCAAGAAAATCAATTTGCATCTGAAAGCTCCTTCATGGAGTTGGCTTGGTTCTGTGGCAAGCAGCCCAGCTCTTGGAGCAGCAGAAGCTGAAGTCTGCCTTAAGAGGATTGTTTGGTCCCAGTTGAATAACCTGCTGGCATCCACTGTTAGCAGAGTGGTGAGCAGATTATGGGTAAGCAGATATTAATATTCTGATTAAACATTTTAAAACCTCATATCGCTATTTAAAAAAATAATTGCACTGCTCTGAGTGAACTCTAATACTTAACATTCTGAAGTTACGTTTAGCCTTGATTTTATATCATCACAGTCTTAAAAATCTCTACCTACAGTTTTTATTTCCCAGAACCAAAGCTTTTGTCCCTACCACCTTAACTGCAATGTCTAAGATGCATGTGAACGTATGACTTTTCTGGACAGTCTTTACATTTTAGGTCTTTACATCAGCACACTTCGTTTCTTCCAAAATCTCTTTTTGAAAAAAGGGCTGCAGTCATCTTTGGTCTCAGCTATAAAAACCCAGTGCAGCTTTGGCAGCCCTCCTGGAGAGCCTTCTTGTTTCCTGAGGATCCACTGACTTAACAAACTTAACAAACTTAATGACACTAGGAAAGAGACATTTGCAGTAAGCATTCTGAAGTTATGGAACTATAATAGTTTGCTGCTCCCCCAAAATTTCTCTAACAGCATCCATCACAAAGATTATACAATTTATCATGATAACAAGGGGGAGGTTATTAATTGTCATTAATTGAAGTCCACAATGTACCTACAGGTCTTAAAAATCAACAGTCGAAACTACTCGGTGACCACAATTTATTTCTGGGTCCAGACTGAAAAGTCTGTTTATTTTTTGGGTGCTTACTAAATGGAGTCACTGTCCTGGAGAGAAAATATGAGTAAACATTTTAATGTTTCCTACATTGAGTGTTGGAATCATCTATGATGCCTCTGACTTAGCTTGATGAGGACAGTCTACTCAAGGTGGTCTAGGCTGGGACCAGGCTAATCTAGAATGCTGTCAGACTGGTGGGGAGATGTTACTGTACGGTTCTGAGAGCAGAACATTAGCAAATAACTTGTTCTACAGGTTAAATAGGAAGGGAGGAGGAGCCCAAAGAGGGTCAAATCTATTTCACCTGTGGCATCCTTTACTTTTGCCCTGGCTTCATACCTTACTCTCTAGAATTCTCTTCTACTCCAGTGGATCCCTACTGCTGGAGAAGACAGGATTCAAAGACAACTCATGATTACTTCAGAAATCCCTGCAATTACACTTCCCCCTAATTCTTGAAGCATCTTCCTGCAAATCAGGATGGGCCTTAACCCTCCATGTGCCTTGGCACATTCCTGTATTGGGAATGTGTAATGAAGTGACTGCAGGGACCTAAGGTCCCGAGTAGCACTCTGAGGAAGCAGGACCACTCACGGTGCCTATACAAGGAGAAGATGGTTCCTCAGAGGTGACACAGAACTGAGACACCACAACACATGAGCTGGGGGTGGTTTGAAGGAGGGGACCTGGCCTCCCTACCTAAGCAAGGCTTCCTAAGCACCCCTTGACGCAGAACAATCACAGCCGCTCTTCCTTTGATCCAGGGGCAATGGATTCCTAAAGTCAAGTTCTTCTTTTGCATTTCCAGTATGAGCACATCTGATCCTCAGCGGCACAAGGTTGTGGGCGGCTGAGCTGTTCACCTGTCTCCCTCCAAGTTCTCTCCCTCCACCCCAAACTTCTAGTCTCCCTGGGCTGTATACTATGCATGCTCTTTCCTGGTATTGCTTTCCCTTCTCAGGCGCCCTATGGGCTAACCACGTGGAAAAGGCGAAGTTTGGAGAGCGCGGTCCTCTAATGGCCATTGGAGTACTTGTTCACCCGCGCCGGATGGGGTGGCGGCGGAATAGGGTCAGCTCAGGTGAAGCGGCCACCGGCCCCCTGGAGAAGGACCCTGCAGGTATCGACCCGCGCTCGCCCTCCGCGTGCGCCCGTCCGCGCGGAGCCGGAGCAGAGACCGGTTGTCAGCGCCGGAGGGTGCAGGGAGGGTCTGCCCGCCCCGCCTGGCCTGGGGCCCGAACCTGCGCCCCAGCCCCGCGCACACTGACCTGCCAGCCGCCTCTCCCGGACGTTCCTCCACAGCAGATCCCAGGCTCTGTTGGTGGAGTCCCGCAACTGTTCGCTGATCGACCTCCGGAGCGGCGCATACGGAGCTCTCCGTGTGCTGGTCATTTTAGATCCGTCCGCATAACGACCCGAAGACTCGCCGCTGTCACTCCCGCGTGGCCCGCCACTCACAGTCCCCGGGAGCCGCGAGGCCAGGCGCCGCCCCGCCGCTGGGGGCCCGGGACCCGCAGCGGGCGCGACATGGGTGGGTCGAACTCCGGGAGGCCCCGCGCGCGGGGCAGGATGCACGCGGGACGGGATGTCGGGCCCCCGGGCGCCCCGCGAGGCCAGCTCGGCGCTCCGCCTGCTCCTCCGTCCCCGCTTTCCCTCGCTCCCTCCCTCCCTTCCTTGGCCCTCCCTCCCGGGACAGCCGAGCGCCGGCTCCTTCCCGGAGCGCAGCGCGCCTTCCTCCTCCCTGCCCCCTCGCCGGACCTGACCGCCTGGCCCCAGGCCCGCACTCCTGAGCATTTTTCACCCAAAGGCCAGGAGCTGTGCCATATTCCTTTCATTCCCTGACACTTTCCATCGCTCAGTCTCTGAAACCGCCACCAAAACAACTCCAACAAGTAATTTAAATATGCTGCAGTTAGCGCCACAATAACTCTTCAGAGTTCTCCTGCATTCAAACCACTTGAAGTCAGCTAAACTGCCTTTCTAGGGTTCTGCAGGGTGATTCTGCATGATGTCAATGCGTGCTGGTTTCATCAAAATGAAATAATTATGCGAGTGCAATCTACAATGAAATTGAGGTGGACCGAGGAGTCAAAATAATGCGATGAAGTAGGTATATTAAGGAGGGAAAATATAAAAAGGGAAAACCCTCAGGTATCTTAGCGAAAGCATAAAGCACATTCATCATTAGAAATTAACTTTGATTCCTGAGTGGATGTGAGAGCAAATGTACTGGATTTTACAGAAATACATCCTGGTCTTTAATAAGCCATTAGTTCTTCAGGTCTCCATGAGGTGATGTCCGCATTGTTTTCCTAGACTTCAACGCCTCCCCTTGCCCCCCACTCCAGGCAAAGGTAATCAAGGTGGGATTACTTATCTGTAATCCCAACACTCAGGAGGCCGATGCAGGAGATTTGCTTGGAGAGTAAGGCCAGCCTGGGCTACATAGTGAGTTCCAAGCCAACCTGGGCTACGAAGTGAGATGTCTCAAAACAAGACAATAACAACAAAAAACAAAGGCAAGGGCACTATTACCACAGGGTGTCTTGAAATTTGCAAGGTTTTATTTGTAAAATATTTTGATGATGTCTGAGAAATTATGATAATAACTGATATAATTCAATGCATGATTAGTGCCTTACACTTAAACTATGTGTAATAGAAATATTTCAAAAGAGAATTTATGATTCTGTTTGTTTGTTTTTGAGATGGGGTCTTACACTGTAGCCCAGGTTGGTCTGGAACTCTTACTGCATAGTCCATGCTGGCCTTTTGAATTCTCAGCAATCCTGTCTCAGCCTCCCATGTGCTAGGATTACAGTTTGAGTCACCGCACCTTGCCAGAGAATTTCTGGATTCTTGTAACTGTAAAATTGTTTATCTCATTTCTTCTTAAATATCTTTCCACCTGACTGATAAACTGTTTTATTTTCATTTCAGATGTCCCATGTGAAGTTTGGAAATTTCAGAAAACTGTTCAATCCTTCCTCTATAATATAAATTACTACTGACTTAGAGCAGAAACTAAGAACTATCCAAGGGTCTTCTGGTGACATCTATACTTTTATTAAGCATTTCCTATCAGTTTATACTGTTGGTGAGACATGGGGAGAGGGACCGTTGTAAAAATGGTCTTTATTATTTTGTTATCCTAAGTGACAAAAGTTTCTGTTAGGGAAGCATATTTCAGAGTGAGCTGGAAAGTAATGATGAGCAGTTTTGTACCATCTTGGTAAAACTTTGAAGTTGTCAGTGTTAAGTAATAAGGCATGGATTAGAAGTGGATTTGAAATTATGGCAGCCAGTTACAGAACAATCCAGACACCCTCTGGACCCATGCCAAATGCTCTTTCGATGACATCCTCTGTTTTATATGCTTGTAGTAGTAGCATGCTCTGCTACTTTGTGTTCTCTTAAAGTGGCTGCTATGTGCAGCATAACAACAACGGGAAGAACAACTGCATTCCCAGAGAAGCTGTGCATTTGACTTTTAAAAGACATCTCCAGTTGAACCAGGGGCAGTAGCTGCAGCATTATATACACAGAATAGAACCGTGCAAGTAACCTTCAAGCTAGTTCGGTCATCAACTAGTTTCAAAACGTCTGGACCCCCATCCCTTTCTATCCTAATAAATATTGTATAGTCAGATGCCCTGACTTTGGAGTTTTTCTTAAATGACTAATTTGAAGATAGATTCTGGCATTGCAAATCTGTTTGGTTCTGGCTGTTGAATGGCCATGAATGGAGGGCTGTCCAAGAGAAGCCAGATGAAAGACTGATCTGCTCAGAACAGGTGCTGCCCGAGCAGCTGGTGCCACACAGCGTGGCACAGCTCTCAGCAAGCCCAGCTGCTGGTCCTGCTAGAGGAAATCTTACAGCTGTGCAGATGGAGCTTCCACACATGTAAAGATTTCCAGCTCAGGTGAAAGCTCAGAGTGACTTACAGTTTTATACAGCTCCTTCATTCATCATTAGCTCTGTTTCAAAACTGACTAGTGTAGAGGCCCTCCTCTCCCCTGGGGCCTCCACCTGTAGCAAATCAGTGAAAATAAAATACCACCTACTTCGAAGATCAGAAATCCCCATTCCTACCTACCATCTTGTTTTCTTCCTTCTTTCTCATGACAGAAGTGGCACTGCTCTTTCTGCCCTGATCTAGTCCCCAACCCGTGCTCGGCTCTCCAGGCCTTCTTGTGCCTACAGGACGTTTGCTGCTTCTGTTATTTCTTCCATGCTTCCCTCTAGTGAGGTTCAACCCTCAATTTCCTTTTTTAATCCAAACCCAAACCCAACAACAGCACCTAAAATAAAGCACACTGCCTCTACCTTGTTTCTCTTGGAGCACCATTAAGTCTTCTCTTATCAGCACTGTACATTTGCCCCTTACTAACTCACTAAAGCGGTTCTTGTTAACATCTAGAATCATACTCAACTGCTGGGTAAATCTAATATTTATTTCTGGGACCCATGGGCTATTGGACAATACTGACCATTCCCTTCTTCCTGACATGATTTTGTCATGTCATGCTGCGATAGGCTCTTCCTTCTCATATCAGGCCCCTTATGCCTATTCTCAAGGTCCAAGCTGGTTCAGAAAGAAAGTGTATGTGTTCAAGACGTGACTGGGGGCAGAGTCCCATTGATTCATGTTTCTGCCCTTCAAAAGTAACTTTCTCAAAGATGGTTTTGTAGACAAAATGACATGTCACTTGGCACATAAAAAGCAGTCAGAGCTGCCAACCATAATACTATTACTATTACATCACTGTCCTAGCCCAAATCTTTCCTGAGTCCCTCTCATGCAACTATCCTGACACCAACTAGAAATGACTACTTTAGTTTCTCCTATAGCAACAGGTTAATCTTCTTTGTAGTTCTTTCCACTTCTAGACACTTGTTTGTTTGTTATCCGGATTCAGGGGAGATATGAGCTCTATGAGAGCGAGGTCTGGTTTGTCTTATTCACTTGTGTGTCCTCAGTACTCAGAACAGCTCCTGATAGTCTTGCTGAGTTAGCACTCGTAAAGTAAATGGATGATTATGCTCTAGGGTCATATGCTGTTTACCTTCTTAATGGAAACTCCAAAACTTTCCTTCTAGATCTCATCTTTTATCCATACTTTCTGTGCTAACCAACTAATGCTGCCCAGTGTCCAAGAGGAATCTAGAAGTCACACCACTCTCCTCAACAGGTCCTTATTTTCTTCTTTAGTCTTCCCCTGACTCGCCATCCCCATAGTAAGTGGCCTAGTTCAGGTTTCTCTCCTCAGAATTTCAGCATAATGAGATTCACATTATGGGAGTACTGCTGTCACTCCGCTCTATGTTCTTATGAAGTAGCTCTGATTGGGTGCCTTACTCCAATCGCTTTCTCCACTCATCCTTCAAGATGCAACTGGCTGCCTGGTTATTCCTCCACTGCATTCTATCAGTGCTTTAGAGACGGCCTTGAGTACAGCACTTATTATGAACCACTGTGTATGAGTCTGTTTCCTCTTAGCACCCCCACCAGACCCAAGTCCCCTGGATGGAGCTGGGCCTAGTATTTCTATTTCAGAATCCTTTGACTCCTTTTCCATGAGCAGGTTGCAGTAGGGATTGTTCACAACAAAACTAAGATCTAGTCTTTAGTGTTGCGCTAAATGTTAATGATGCCTATGATGTTACTTCATCATTGATTATCATTCTTATTGATTATTTAGTTTTTTTAACTGTAGACTACTATAAATACAAACATTAAAAACCATCTTCAATATCACCAAGAAGGGAGATGGGGACATAAAAATATTTTTTCAGTTTTTGTATCAAAAATGTATGATTGTCATATACCAAATTTTACATTATTATACTTGGCATTAGATAGTAATCATTTTCCAAATTCATAAATTGTCTTTTAAAATATAATTTTAAATGAATATTTAAAATTTTGTTATATAAAACATCACAATCTTTAAGCTTTCATGATTTTGGATATTGCCCCTCAAACTTCTGAAGTTACAAGTAATCCTGTATGAAAAACTCTGGCAAGCATAACACAGTATCTTTTTTCTTTTTGATAACACTGCTACATAATTAAGTTCTATTGCTACTGTGCCCCAGGCCAGAAGCAATAAACACAACTTTACACCATGCACTGATAATCCAAATAGTGATGATCTGCAGTTCCATGAACTTGCCACTTCCCACACTGGACTCTGATTCTCTGCCACTCACCAGGACTGAAGTGGGAAAGCACATTGCACTGTGTCAGCCATTTTATTGATGGGACCTTTACTCAAGAATAAAGATCAGTGTCTACCTGCAGCAGGGCAAGAACCCTTTACCAAAAGTCCCACCATCTTTTACGTGGTTTCCATCTCTGTGAGGAGCTGTTTCCTGTGCAGGGGCATTTCCATTTGTGGCAGGATAGAAACTATTTTATGTTCTTCTTTTCCTGAAAGAAATGAGATACAGCAATTTTCCGTAGTGCGTTTAATCTCATATTACTTATTTATGGAGAAGTTGAGTCTTCATGCTGGGTCCTGGAGTGTGTCTGCCCTGCTCGGTGGGTGTGTCACAGTGCCCTGTTGCCTCTCTCTGAATCTTCCAGTCTTCTCATTATAATGGTTTTGGTTGCTTTGATGGTTTTGTCCGCCATTTTAAAAAGC